AATTAGTTTTCTTATTTCTTGACAAAATCAACAAGCCTCCACACACAATATTGCCTCCGCCTTAGACGTGAAAGTGGACTTGAAGGAATGTACACTTTTTCTTAACTTTTTTCCTGGAACTGTTTGAGGGGATCCTTTTTTAAGCTGTGGCTGAGACTGGGATTCCGGCACTAGCAAGTGCTCTTTTTTCTGCACTTGCCCTTTCTATCCGCTGCCTTTTTGATGCGCCTCGCTTTATTCATGCTCGTCGTCGGCAGGACAAACATTTCTTCTCATCACTGCTCATTAAATCGTCACGGCTGCGGTACTTTCAACATGAAATTGCAAACTGATGTGCCCACCTTTCGATTGCCAAGTTTAGAGTCATCACGAATAAGAGCAACACAGACCGATATCAGCTAAAAGGAGTTGGAAAAGCACAAACCTGGAATGTAAGCAGCATTTTTGAAATATCATTAGCGTCCAGCCCAGGCAGCAGTGAATTTAGCAACGAAATAGCATGGCTGCGGTATGGCTTATCGGAGAATTCTTCCATGGCACGCAGTGGAGCACGTTTTCGACTGCCAAGATTAGAGTCATCACGAACGAGAGCAACACAGACCGCTATCAGCGCATTAACGGACTGCACTAGGCGGTGCGGCTCAACCACTGTTTGCAGCGCTGGGTACACTCTGAAAAAAGCCGAAACGGAACTCCGCGAGACATATGCATTGGAAAGAATTAATGAGCAAGCCCCAAGTAACCGGAAAATTAAAATTTGCTAAAATTAAAGGCATTGCTTACAACTCAAGGACTGCGGGAACAACGATCCGGGGCGCAATCTGCGATAAACCACGCATTATTGCCGGCGCAAATTCCGACTTGAACTTCGCGAACAGTGCAAGCTGAGCGCACGGCAGCACGGATTCGACAAATTCATCCAGTTGCGCATCTGTCAAACGAAGATGTGCCGGCACCTGGGTGAGAACGGTATATGGTATAACATCACAACCAATTTCCTTTCCATCAAACATGTGAAAATCTTGATTGAACAGCCGATTTCATGAACGCTGACGAGTACAGTGCAGTTGCAGGTAGGGCTGCTCCCGTGCTGGAGATCGAGAGCTCATCCCAGCCAAGCAGACAAGCAGTCCCTCAATTATTCGTTCGGTTCATTCATTCCAGTGGTGAACTGGCACTACCACATGTCAAGGAGTTAAAGCCGCCGTCAGCGTGCTCCTGGGCAATCCTCGAAAAACGGGAGTCATCGACTGCCCCACCGGCGGACAGTTATTGCTAACATATTTTGGGCGCTCCCTTCGCCTCTTGTTGACAGTAAACATGGGAAGAGGGAGGAGTGACTACTTTCACGAGAGGAAAAAAAAAGTACTCGGTGCGGTCAGCTTTGCGCGAACAAATATGAATGCGCTAAAACATGCACAAGGCATTTGCACTGCACCATAATCGCCTTTTAGCCCAGTCACTATTCACAAATTTCGAAAATACAGTTTCCTCTATTTAGGAATTATATTCATCCAGTCGGAAGACAGCGCATTTGCAAAGCTCATCCAAGCCACTAACCTCACGTCAGGCAGTAGTTAAAGCAAGCTTGTCTTGTTCTGAAGTTATATCATCAACCTGACTTTTATCTAACGTCAAGGGTCAGAACACGAAAAGAACAAAACTGGTCTCCGGTAGGTGTTACCACATACGATCGAGTCCCAGAATTTCCCGCACTGAGATGCCCAGCTGGGCACATTAACTGCATGAACGCGGCAAAAAGAAACCTGCGGATGGCAACTAGGCTTCTCGTATCGCTCCCTGTGCAATCTGCCGGAAACAGCATTCACCAACTTCATAAGAAAATTTAGCACTGACGCAGAATGATGGCCATAATTAGACGGGTGCATATACGACTCCAATGAACGGAAAAGGCGCGTGAGATGATTTTGAATCCTGCAAAACACTGCAGTAACAAGCAACAATTTTCAACTTAGGCTAGAAAGATAAGCAGCAAGAAAAAGCTTCGAAACAATGCTTGGTTGAGGACGTGCCCTTCATACATCCCTTCTAAAAAGTGAAATTCTGCCGCAAAAATCCACACTAACCAACACTGAATGCTGTCCAACCAAAATCCATAGTAAACCATACGCAGTAAAACAGGCCGCAAATATTTTACGCTGCACAACATTCACTTCAAGCAGTAAAATAGCAAAAGCTGTTCTTCACTGTTCAGGAATTAGTGATGTTCATCATGACTGTCAGTACAGTTACACGCTTTTGAATGGCTTTCTGCAGCACTAAGATCGCTAGCGGCAACAGCGTTCATTGCTTCACAGTTTGATATGTGCACTCATGTTGACTGTATTCATATTTGCTTCTTCCTGCACGTTCGGGGAAGGAAGCTATCGCTCCAGCTGAAGGTGTTGAACTGTGGAGCCTCGCACAATTTCAGTGCTCTAGCTTTCCTGACTGCCGAGTTCAAAATGAGTGAAAAGTCGTAACATGAATGGTTATTGCTTTACTCCTACCTTGTACGCTCATTACCGTAAAACATTGTAAATCTTAGATAAGGGGAAAAAAAAATTTCCGTCCAGCAGTCGCTTCTTGAAAATAGCTATTCAGTGAACAATTTTACCGTCAAAATTTCCATATACCCGCACGTACCTGGAGGCTGTATTTGAAGTCTTTAAGCTGTACGTGGACGGGGGGCATTTCCTTGAAATTTCAGCCTCTCAGCTTTTCTGATTACCGAATTAGCAGTTTTCCCGCAAAATCTCCCATATGCCCGTACGTGAGAACCACGCATACCTGGAGACTGGGTTTGAAATCTTAGCTCACATGTGAAGGGAGTATCATGGAAAGTTTCAGCCCTCTAACTTGTCTGGTTTTCGAGACCCCACTTCCGTGAAAAAATTTGCATATTTTTTTAATGCATCCGCACGTGAGACCCAGGCGTACTAGTATGATAATATTTAAATGAGAGGGTGGCACATAGTGTGAGCACATACTCCCGAAGTTTCAGCCTTCTAGCTTCTTTGATTCTTAAGTTGAAAGTTAGTGATAAAAAGTGAAAAACACATAGACACACAAACACATGCATAGGCAGCCTCCTACCAATACGTGTTTTTGCATTTGCATATATGCAAAAACACCGCCAAAACACGCAGCACACTGCACTGTTCAGAAAGACTCACCCATTCTCCGGTCCACCGAGCATATATGCCAGCCAGAGTGCAGCGTAATCAAGATTGAACGAAGTCATGGTGCCGATACTGACTCGCTCGAAACCCTGTCCTATTTCCAAGTTCAGAGCCCGTAGAATACGCGTTATTATGAGGTCATACTTGTCCTCCCATTCAATCAGCCCCGGACATTCGCGTGCCAGACTATAACAAAATTAGAGCTTTTAAGAAAAAACCACCCACTTGTATGCGTGCAAAAAGGGTGAAATGAAAACTTGAACAAAGGAATAACAGCACCATAACTGAACGGCCAATCACTTTTTCTAAAATCAAAGAAGTGTAGTAAACTCACCCGTACGGACTGCAAAAAAGTTGTGAGAAACTGAATCACCGTGCAAAATCAACCTAGATTAAGAAACAACCGGGAAGGATGCAAAACGGGCAATTCAAAATTCAGCTAACATGAAGGCTAAATCAAACTACTGTAGTACTAAGCAAAAATACCGACGGAGACCAGAAACACACATGCAATATCGCCCACTGCTATCACATACGTACAAAACTTCTAAATACGCTATCACGCCCGAATCAAAGTGGATTTTGATGAAAACTCAAAAAAAACCTCCAA